ATCCTGGACTGGGGGACACAACTTCTGGGTCCTCCAACTCTGCTCCTGACGTCTGTTAGCACCTGTCTTCCCAGGCAAAGAGGACAGTTTGGTTCCCTACTCATTGTGTGTCTAGAACAGAAACCCTGGGCTCCTATCTGACCAAGATTGGAGGACTGGGCATTCCGAATCACTGCACATTCTAAGAATTGCCAGTTTTTATTCCCAAAGGAGTTCGTTTTGTTTTAATCTTATGTGTCCACAAAGGTCTCCAAGAAAAATCTAATGGAGACACAACTTCAGACTAGTGATACTCATAGAGGGGAAATGCCTCAAAGACAGTGGCCGTACAGAGGAGACTGGATGGACAGGTTAGATTAGCCTTCCAACTGGTTAAACCAGGGCTTACTTAATTAGAAAACTGTAAAAGCCACCATTTACTGAGCCAGGCACTATGGTAAGGACTTTACCTACTTTGTTTCCTTTATTCTGAGGCGCACCTGACAGGTAGGAATCCCTGTCTCCATTTAAAGATGGAGGTTGACTGGTTAATCAACTTAATCAAGGTCACAAAGTTGGTGCACTGCAAAGGTAGATTGGAAGCCAGGTCTTTATCATGACTCCATATTCTAGTTTCTTTCCTGACCTCAGCGGAGGTGTGTCATCCTTGTCCCCTCAACTCCCAGGATACCTTAGAGCTCCAGGTAAGCTGGTTCAACTGCAGGGTGCGGGTGCGGGTGCGGGGTTCCTGAGCCTTCTCCCAGACTGGCCTGGTCTGTAAATCCGAGCAGGAGGGAGTTCAGCCACACTGTGATGCTGTTATACCCGGTGACCAGCAGGTGGCAGTATCCGCCAGCCTGCTGCCATTTGTCCCAAACCCAAGGAAGGGCTCTGAGAGGTCCCCCGTGAAACTTCTGGAAAAGAAGCTATCTCACTCCCTTCTTCTCGGTCCCTTCCCCTCCCCACTCAAAGGCGGGCCAAGACAGTGGCCGGGGGCCAGGCTGCAGCCAACCCTGGCGTGGATGCCAGAGCTGTTGCCCTGGGTAACCTCGGGGGAGGCAGCCCTCCATTGAGCATGGGAAATACTTCTGAGCCTGAGGAAGCCCAGACCCGGACATCAGGTGGGACTGAGCCAGAACCCTAATGGGATCTCCCCATACCCACAGCCGCATCCCTGGTCTTCCTGGGGGAGATGGCTGCAGCCCACGTCTGGCTGAATGGAGAACAGCAGCACCAGATGTGCTGGTAGGTGGCTCCCTCTGAAGTCTGTTGTCACCATCTTCCCTCCCCCGCCCTCCCAGGGACACCTTCTTGGGGCAGAGCCGCAGGCTAACCCTGCCTCCTCACCTCTAACCCTCTCCAGCTCTGAATCACAACAGCCATGGTAGGTCCAGACTGCAGGCAGGTTCCTGGTTAGGTCCCTGGCACTGGGTCCCATCCTCACATGCTCTCCACCTCTCACAGGTGGACCCTCAGTGGACATTTGATTGTCAACCTCACTGTGCCTTTGGGGATCAAAAGCCAGGAAGGGCCAAGGGACTTGTGGTCCAAGGATAGAGGCCAGATTTGAATTCTGGCCTCTCACTCTCGGGAGCCATTAACATCACAGCCAGGGGGCATCTGTTTTACCTTCCACAATAGTGCTGGGCTGCAGGGACCCAGAACGCCTAACAAAGGACAGGGCGGAGGCTGAGCCCTCATCCATCCTCTTCCTCACCTCCAGGGTACCCAGGGCAGAGCTGGGAAGAGACCTTCTGAGCTGCACAGAGAGCAAAGGCACAGGATCACAGAGGGGCCCCATCATCCCTGGTGGCTATGATGCCAAATGACAGGGTACTGATCCCTTTCCCTCCTTGGGGGCTTGGATGCCCTATGTGGGCAATGCAAGGTGTAGAGCAGGGCATCTCTAAGGAAACTTCTGATGCTCTTATCATCAGACATGGGGCCTCGTGCCTGGTGTGGCAGGAGTCACTGGCTCTAGACTGAGCAGGCTGCAGCGGGGGGTGGGGGGGTCCAATTTCCAGTGGTTCAAGCTGGGAGAATCCAAGACTAGCTTCCTAAGTGGCATCAAGCCAGTGTGCCAGCTCATGTTCCCAGGTGGCGTGTGAACCTCCATCAGCAGAGGTGCCTTTGAGAGGTGTGGTGGCTCTCACGGGTCTCATGTGCAGACTTCCCCACCTTCAGAGCTATCAGAAGGCTGCCTGGGATTGGGTGGGAGTTCCCATCTCTTCAGGTATGCAAGCACAGCCTGGGTAGCAGTTTGTGATGAATCAGGCATACCATGAAAAGTAGGCCCAAATAATCCAAAATATTCCTTCAGATCCTTGGATTGATTCTAGGACCTGAGTCAGAAACCTGGTGGTCAGAGAAAGCAAACGGCTTCTGCAAAGGACGGATGAGCGGCAAAATTCTCTCTGAGGGAAGGATCTGGGGATGAGAATGTGGGGACAGCTCCTGCCCACCCCAGTCAAGAAACCCCCCGCCCCCAACCAGGCTGCTTTTCCCCTCCTCCCCCTGTTGGAGCCAGTCTCACCTCCCCTCTCTGAGGAGCTTAACAGCTGAAGTCTGGCGCTCTTGGGAGACTGGGCGGCGGGGCGGGGGTGGGGGGGATCTTCAGACTGATAAAGAACGGAAGTTGGAACTCCAGCCCCAGTTTTCTCCCAGCCTTCTCTAAACTTCCTGCACCGGCCCCTGAGCCTCATTCCCAGCTGCACAGTGACTGCTGGGGCAACACAGAGCAATAGGAATCCACCTTCAAAGTGCACTTTGCAGCAGGTAGGATACAACTTCCGGGTCTTCAGGCTGGGAACACTAGCTCCCTCCTGCCTGGCCCACCTACCAAAGGCTCCCCGTGTCCCCCAGGAGGAAGCCCCAAGCGAGCCTGGGCCAGCCTGACACTGTGGCCTCAAAAGGCCACCTGCTCACCAGAAGGCCTCAGCTTCACAGAGTCAGGGATAGAGGGCTGGGAACTCCTGGTCTCAAGTTCCTCTGCGCTCAGGGAGGGTGCTGCCTGCACTCCAGACTGATGCTCAGTCATGGGCCCCAGGGAAGCTCTGGACAGGGCATCCAGAGTCCTGGTCAAGTCAAGCCCTCACTGTGGGCCTGACTCGCTAGGCCATCATGTCACATCATGTAAACTTAGCCACTGGACCATGTGCTCCTACTAGCTCGTCCTACTCTGAGCTCCGTGGCTTTTCCAGTTACGGCAGGCCTTGGTGCTGGTGATGACAGACTGTGTTCAGTGGCGGGTGTTGTGAGCTCCCAGCTGACGCCAGAGGCAGGAAGGAGTCCCTAAGACGATGCTTTCATAATCCTCACCTGGACCTGAGAGTTCTTTTTCTGCCAAGAATTTTCCAAAGAGCTTTTGCAAGGAAAGCCAGGACCCTCTGCCTCTCCACTGGGGTTGGGGAGAGTGTTGCAGGTCCAGCCCCCCACAATCTCACCTCCCCTCTGGGCAGCCAGAGGTAACCCTTTGCCCAGCCAAGCGTTGCTGACTGCAGGCTCTGCCACTCACTAGGTGACCTGGGAAAGGGGTTAAATTTCTTTGCGACTCAACTTTTTTTGTCAATAAAATGGGAATAATAATACCTACCTCACAGGACACAGCAGTGGTGAGAATGAAGTGACATGAGTTACGTTAAGCAGTTGGCAGGACCCCTGGCACTTGGAGAAGAACCATCATTATTTGGTTAACAGTGACCATTATTAACAGTTATCATCATTATTTGAGAGGAAGGAAAGGGAGCCAGACATGGCCCAGGTGTCCCTTCCTCCCTCCCCTTCAGTGTGGCTGGTCAAAAAGGCCCTCCATCCCCCCTTCCCATCACTTTACTTTGAACCACCTAACAATGCACTGTACATTCACGCGCATTTATGGATTTACGTATTTCCTGTCTCTTCTGCCCTTACAAAAGCTCCATGCGTTTGTCCTGTGTGTTGCTGAATCCACAACACATGGAAGGCTGCTCATGGTATTTACTGGAAAGAAGGAACGAATAGAGGGATGGATAAACAATGAATGAATGCATTATTGCCTCACTTTACAGACCAAGAAACACAGGTGACAGCACTAAGGCCTGGCTCAAGCACATGCAGCTGCGGGGTGGTGGCTCAAGCAGCAGCAGCCCACACCCCTCCCCCCAGCAGTCTCCTCCAGAGCCTTCCAGTGCCTAGAAGTTACTTCTCTCTTGGCCATCATCTCCCTGGGGACCCAGAACAGACTAACAGACACAGGGCGACTGAGCCTCCTCTGTGTCAGCCTGTTATCCTGGACACACACCACCTTCCTGAAGTGAGAATCTCCCCATTTTATAGATGAGGAAATTCAGTCTCAAAGAAGCTTAATGGCCTGCTCCCACAGGGACAGCAAGAGCACATGGACCCCAACCCGTCCCTAATTCCTAAGTCCCAAGGTGACCTCAAGGTGGAGGTATCATGTAATTAACAAATGTTTATTTGGTACCTGCTGTACCAAGCCTGGGCTGGGACCCTTCCATTCTCTCCCTCACACAGCTGGAGAAGTCGAAGCCCAGATGATGCAAGGGACTGGTTGTTAAGAGCAAAGCCATGACCAGAACCAGGACTACTTGACCCCAGTTCAGGGCTCCTAGGGTATTTGTGCAAATCACAGACGAGATGACATGCAAAACTTCCGAAGACTGTGCGTGGCTGAAGGAGGAAAGGAGGCCAAGAAAGACAGCAGGGACGCAGCACCGACATCAGCGGAGAGACCGGTGGCTGGGCGGCCACTCTTTTGACTGACCAGTGTCTCTAGGGGGCAGCTCTGCCAGACAGCCTGCGTGGGTTCGTGCAGGGCCGCTCTGTACCGGGACCACGCAGAGAGGGAGACCCGTGACCACGACCTTGTCGGGGCTCTCTGCCCTCGGTCCCAAAGGCAAGGTGGGTTAATGCAGACCCGGTCATCCCAGCCTCCCACCGCCCTTCCTGCCCAGACATTCCCTCACGAACCTCAGGCCTTTTTCCTCCGCCCCCCTGATCCGCCTGGGGTCTGGAGTTCCGACCTTTTGCCAGGCCTCTCCTGCTCCCGTACGACCCCGAGAGGTGTGGGGCCCAAAGTCTCCATCTCCGGAGGGCGGAGGGCCTCCATCGCGGAGGGCGCTGCATCTCCGCGGTGGTCTGCAGGGCAACGACTGAGGAGCTCGCTTGGGACGAAGCAGCGGGTGTTGGGGAACTCAGAAGCCTGGGCCGGGCGTCTCCCGTGGGTCAGAGTGTGGGGCAGCCGGCCGAGAGAGGGACTCACTCGGCTTTGGGTCCGGTGGCGTCGGGCTGACGCTGATCGCCCACTCAAAGTAACCGTGACGCACTACCCCCGCCTAGATTTCCAGTTCGGTAGCAAATATAATTTTAAAATCAAAAGACGCGCCTGCCCTGCTACGGGGATACGTCCGGCTCCAGCCGTCCGGCTGCAGCCCTCCGTCCGCGCAACGCGCAACAGCGGATTCTCCATCCGCTGGGCTTTCCCGCATTCGAGGGATGTCCGGGCTGCTGGTGGAGCTAAGCCGACACCCGCCGACGACCACCCTCCCTGGCGCGTCTCCCTAAGATGTGGCCTCCCGGGGACCTACCCCTGCGGGCTGCGGACCCAAGTGCCAAGCTGCCCGCGCGACTGCGGTCCCGGGCGCCCCCTCCATCCATCCCCCGCCCTGCGGGAGAACCGAGGCCCGGGAAGGAAGTACGGAGGCGCCACCCCGAGGCTCTTCACCGCCCGCCCTCCCGGCTCTGCCCGCGCCCCAACATACCCGGTAGCCCGTTTCTGTTAGCCGGGCCCCTGGGAGGCGGGCGGAAGGTCCTCACTTTCGATGCACAGACGAACTCGGGGAGCCGCTCCCGCGCGGGAGTCCCCTCATCACCCTGGGGCTGCCTTCGTAGTTCCTGAGCTCCTTTAAGATCCTGGCTCCCGTCTAAGCGCGTGTTCCGCGCCCAAACCTTTGATTTTCGACCGTCGGTCCTTGTCCCGCTGTCCTTCCGGCCTGCCCTTCCAGCCGCTAGCCCTCTCTTCCCTACGGGTTTCTTCCCCTTGCTCTGGCCTCCCGCTCCGATCTTTGGAAGCTGTGCCAGGGTGGGGAACCGCAGAACCGGTGATCAAAAACGCGCTTTTGTGTCAACCCTGCGCGCCCTGGTGGCCTCTCTTGTGCGCGGTGGCCACGGGATCGTGGCACTGACAGGCGAGGCCGAGCCCCTCCGCGGCCGCACTTCTGGCGTCTCGGGCCCCTGCGGTACAGGAGCGGGCGGGGGGCGGGTGCCTCTCCGCAGGGGAGTAGGGAAGACGCTGGGCGGGTACGCGCGATATCTCGGAGCCTCTGACTCCCGAGGGCGCATTTGGCCCGGGCGCAGCGAGGGCGGAGGGGGTCACTTTGCCCTGGGAGAGCGAGGCGGGGCCCCGGTTTGTGGCGGGAGCCTCCGGCCGGTGACACTCGCCTGGCGAGAGTGGGGGCGAAGCGCTTCGGCGGGGGGAGGAGACTCCGGCCCTGGGCTCAGCGTTAGGCCG